ATTCTACAAGAAATTTAGAGAAGAACTAATGCCACAAATGCTGAAACTCTTTAAGGAAATTAAAAGGGAAACAATACTTTCAAAATCATTCCTTTTTTTTTGGTTTTGGTTTTTCTCCGGTACCGGGAACCGAACTCACGACCTTGCGCTTGCCAGGCAGGCGCTTTGCCGCTGAGCTAAATCCCCAGCCCCTCAAAAGGTTTTTGACTGCCCCTTTGGTCAGGCTAGGGCCTTATCTTCATGGAGTTCCACATGTCCAGACTGACCCAGTGCTGGCATATGCTGGACCCCAGTTATAAGCACTAAAATGAGAATCAAAACATGTAAAAAATGTATAGCTTCTTGGTTTTAATAAAATTAAATGGTGTGGATTGTCACAATTTAGAGAGGAGCTAAATCACTTGTTAAATGGATTTCCCATTCAAATTTAAGAAAATACTTAGCAGCAACCCCAAATAGCCAAATTAAATTCCTTAATAGAAGGAAAAAATAGAAAATATCTGAAGTCTTTGTGAAGTTAAAATGAGAACTGTTTTGATGAGGAGGAAATGAGGAAGAGAGGGGTGTTCGGTGTTGATTCCCAGGTTAGTTTTCTGGCCTTGAGTAATTTGAGTGAGTGTGAGATGGGAAAGGCTCCATGCAGGAGGAATACTGGTATCAAAGAAAAACAAGCAAACACTCTTTCTTGTGCTGTTATTCATAGTCTTCAGCATGCTTTTGTATTGGTAAATTCGAAAAGGAAACAAAAATTATTTCTCTCTATTGTTTTAATCAAAGTTCACTTTTGCAGAGGATATTGCAGCTTTGGTGTTGAGCACAATAAACTATAGGTAACCTCACATTAGATTACTTAAATTGCAAAGGCTAGTTAGGTAATTGTCTTTTCTAGCCACAGGAAATTTATACCTGGAAACCAAACTGAAAGTATCCGTACCCTGGAGAACCACCCTTGAGCTGTATTAGCATTTTTATTCAGATTATGTTCTGATTATATCTATACATCTATTGATATTTGGAGAAGATGGTTGCTTACAATTGTTATCAGATAAATAATCACATAGGACAAGAAGACTGAGCTGCTATTCCTTAAACAAATACAAAACTGTTACACTGAAAGTTGTCATTGTCAGATCAATCAGTTAATTTAGGAAATCAAGAATTGTGGACTGAATTTTAAAGCATTTGCACACTATGCAGAGTTGTTTAGGACAAAAACATTATGAACAACTTACACAGTATTTCCATTAACTAGTAATATAAATTGTGATATATTCAAATCATGAAAAATGCAGTGTGAGGCTGTAGCTTAAAAAAAATCCTTTGTAGATAAATACATGAGAAGGAGGAAATTTGTCCAACTCCTACTATGAAGTAGTAAATGACATGGACTAGAGTTATATAGTGTCAGCAGAGGTGATATACCTATGATCTTTCCGTAGCTCTATTAAAAGTTTTCCACAGTGATGTACAGAGAACAGTTTTTGTGAACTGTATAGGAGGAAAGGGACTTTGACTCTTCTAATTCTACCATATTGATGTATTAATTTTAATTTTGCAAGCTTAACAGTTTCTATCTGAAATTTTAAATACTTTTAAAACTCTTACACCTTTTCTGTCTCTAATATTGAGAATGACTAATGTCATGGACATAGGGAGATGTGAGACTGCTGCAGAGTTTCTAAGGAGGGGCAGTGATTTGGCATTATAAGAAGTGAGACAGCTCAGTGTATGAAATTAGAGAGCTCTGGCTTGACTTCTGGGTCTTTGTTCAAACAACCTAATGAATCCAAATGAAATAGTTCGTAGAAAGTTCTTAGCATTGGGTCTGATGT